GGGGGGGGGATGGATGAGTCGGGGGCCTGCGGCCGAGGCCGTGAGTAAGTCGATGGGCTCGTCGCGCCTGCCGAGCCTCTCGAGGTCGCGCAGTCCGATGGCGAGGCGGAGCGACTCCTCGCAGCTGGCGCGCGGCCCGAGCTGCTCGTACCACGGGAACAGCGACCACGGCCGCTCGAGCGGGAAGAGGGAGGAGGGGATGCCGCGCTCCTCGGCGGCCTTGAGCACCTTCTCGTGCTCCTCCTCCACCGTCCGCTCCTGCTCGCGGCTCATCCGCGCCAGCTGCCGCTCCTTCTCGCGGACGCGCAGCCGGTACGGCTCCACCTGAGAGGCCGCCTCGACCTGGTCCACGACCGCACGCACCCAGCGAAGCAGCCCCGCCTCAGTCGGCGTCAGCCCATCGGGGATCGGGAGGTTGCCCTCCTCGCCCTCCTCGCCCTCCTCGCCCTCCTCGCCCTCCTCGAGCAGCCGGTGGAGGACCTCCCGCCATAATGTGGAGAAGGCAGCGAGAGAGGGCGGCGACGCGAGCGACCCCTTGCTCGCAGCCTCGGCCTGCGTTTCGGGAAGCACGCCAATGGCGCCAGACGCGCCGTCGGGGCCCTGCCGCTTGTTGTCCTCCGCCGAGCGCAGCACGTGCGCATGCAGCTCGGCCGCGGCGGACTCGACCGTCGCGCCCTGCTCTCGCAGCGCAGCAAGCTGATCGAGCGGCGGCAGCTGCTCGAGTGCCAGCCCCAGCGCCGAGGCCAGCCGTCCGCGTGCCGTCCCCAGCTGCGCGTCGGTGAGGCCGCACTCCGCGAGGCTCGCGTCGGCAGGGAGGCTGCCCGCCTCGCCCCCACTCTCGCCCGCCTCGCTCTCGCCCGCCTCGCTCTCGCTCTCGCTCTCGCTCTCGCTCTCGCTTTCCTCCTCCTCGCCCTCCTCCTCGCCCTCCTCCCCCTCCTCCTCGTCGCTCTCCTCGTCGCCCTCCTCGCCCTCCTCGCCCTCCTCGTCGCCCTCCTCGCCCTCCTCGCCGCCCTCCTCGCCGGTCGCCTCGCTGCCGTGCTCGATTGGCTCCGCTATGCCGGCGAGCAGCTCCGACGCCTCAATCTCGCCCTCGTAGAACCACCACGTCTGATTCTCGTAGTCGCCGCCCGAGGGGAAGAGGACGAGGAAGGGCTGCGAGCTGCCGTCGTCCTCCTCGAGCCGGCCGGCCATCCCGACGAAGCGCGACGCCTCGTCGTCGCGCGAGGAGAGGACGAGCACCGTGTCGCCAACCTGTGGCCGCTCGCCGACCCGCCTGCCCACCGCCTCGCCCGCCTCCTCGTCGAGCGCACTCAGCTCCGCGAGGTGGGTCTGCAGCGCCTCCACCGAGCTCAGCGTCTCCTTGACCCGCCGCGCCATCGCCGGCGTCACGGCCGACACGTCGAAGTTGCTCAGCAGGCTCGGGTCGCGCAGCACGGGCAGCGCGCGCCGCGCCGACGCCTGCGAGGTGGCGAGCGAGATTGCGACGCGCTCGTCCCCCTTCGCGCGCTCGAGCACCCAGCAGAGCTGGCTGCGCCGCAGCGGCTGCCCCGCGTCCTTGGCCGCCTGCGCAACGCTGTGCATGAGCGCCAGCGAGAAGGGCGAGTCGAGGCCTAGAGGAGCTCGTCGAGAAGGGTGAGCAGCCTGCGGAGGGGAGGACGGTGGGAGGCAGGCGAGTCGAGGCACCTGCCGCGTCGAGCTGCTTGTTGATGGCGAGCAGCTGCTCCTTGGCCTGCTTGGCGGCGTTGCGCTTCGAGAGGAGGCCCGCCTTGGCGCTGTGCAGCTCGGCGACTTTGGACAGCCACTCGTGCCACGTGCTAAACGAGCGGGACGCCTGCGCGAGCGCCTTTCCGTTGATGCCGCCCACGAGCGCCTTGCACTGCTCCCACTCCGCCTCGGTGACGTCGGGCGCCGGAGTGACGCCCTCGGCCTGCTTGTCGATGGCTGCATCTTGGATCTTTGCGTACAGCTCGCCGATCGACTTGATGACCTCCCCGAGCAGGGCCCCCTTGTCTGCGCCCGCCGACTGCACCACCGCCGGCTTGGAGATGAGGAGCGTCGCGCGCACCAGCGCATGGGCGTGTACAGTGTGGGGGCCCTTCGGAGCCTCCGGGTCGCGCAGCGCGTGCAGCTGGTCGGGCACCTCCTCGTGCCGCCGCCCGAAGTCGGCGTGCGGCGACGGCTCTGCGAGGCCCTCCTGCAGCTTTGGAACCTCTTTGGCCGCCGCCTTGAGCCCCTCCTCCATCAGCCCGACCAGCCGGCGCACCATGCTCGCCTTGTCCTGGAGCTCGGACACCTCCTCGTCCTCGCCCTCCTCCTCCTCTGCCGCGCCCGCCGCCGCCGCGTCGCGGCTGAACCGGTCGGCCATGAGCAACGCCCCTCGCAAGTCCTCCTCCACCTCGTGCAGCCCGTGCAAATCGCAGATGCACTCGACCGCCGCCTGCATCGCCGGCGAGCACGTCGAGCACTCGGCCGCCATCTCGACCTCCAGCGCGGCAGCCTCGTGCCGCAGCAGCGCGCAGACCCACCCGCGCAGCGCTACCGCGACCGCCGTGCTCGCCTCAGCCGCTGGGGGTGTGGCCTCGCACTGCCCCTCCTCTGCCGCGCTGCCGAGGAACCTGCGCAGCCGTGGCCGCGCCGCCGCCGGAACCTGCCCAACCTCGAGGGCGAGCAGCCGCTCCACGAAGGCGCCCGGCCGCGGCATCAGCCTCGCCTGCGCGTGCGCAAAGTCCGGTCGCACCTGTAGCAGCGTCGCAGCCGCCTCCACCGCCTCCCGCACCGGCGCGCTCGGAGGCGAGTCGGCGACGCGCAGCTCCTCGAGGGCGTCCGCGTCGAGAGCGCGCAAGCCCTCGCGGGCCACCTCCACGGCGGCCGCGGCGGCCTCCAGCTCCGCGTGCAGCGCCTTGTCCGGGCAGCCGCCCTCGGCGAGGAACTCGGCCACCTCCCTCGCCCGCAGCTGCGCGAACAGCTGCTTGGCGACTCGCCCGAGCCGCGAGACGACGCCCTGCTGCAGCCGCTTCTCGAGCTGGGCGAGGCTCTTCCGCTCCTTCTCGATGAGCTTGGCCAGGTCCTTCTGGTACGAGGACTCGCTCCGCTTCTCGTCGATGGACGACTGCAGCCGGTGCGCCAGCGCCATGAGCGGCTTCGCCTCGCGCGAGATTGTCGTGCCGTCCATGTGGAGGAGGACGGCGGCGCAGTCGTCCGGGTCGACCTCGAAGAGGTGGCGCAGCTGCTCGCGCCGCAGCGCGTGTGTGAAGGGCAGCGTGAGCCACGGCATCGCCCGGAAGCAGGCGGCAAACTGCTCCGCCGACTCCGCCGCGGTGATGTAGACGACCTCGAAGTGCCCCAGCCCCTCCTCGCACCCAAACTGCTTGTACACCTGCTGCAGCGCGCGCAGCAGCGCCTCGTCCCTCTGCTTGCCCTCGAAATACAGCACGAGCGCCTTGTCGGCGAGGCAGTCGCGCGAGACGCGGCCGAGCCGGTTCGACTGGTACGCCTCGCCGAGCTTCTCCTGCACAAAGCCTTGGACGCACTCCGGCCTTACCTTGAAGTGCGCGTGCCCGTCGATCAGCTGCCCCCAGGCGTTGGAGCGCCACAGGGTGGCGAGGTTCTGCGAGCAGAGCTGGTCGAACTGGACCCTCTCAGTCAGCATCGAGTTCAGGGTGAGCCACGCCGCAATGT